TTTTTTTTTTTGGTGAATATTTCACCATCAATTTTAATATTTATGTTTTGTCTTTCCTCTGTTTCCCTGTTGTGCACCTGGTCACCAAATTGAAATCACGGGACATTAGTATTCGTACTATCACAAGCAATAGCAAAACGTTCTTTTCACATCGCCGTACAAAGCTCAGATACAGATACGCAGCTATTACTGCAATGAAAAGTAGTATTTGAATGCTTCTTTTAGGTTCATCAATTTTAACATCCTTGAGCTTTCAAGATGACAAGATGCTTCATCTTTTACTATGCTCGCCTGTGTGTGTATGTTAAGGTTGAGCCATATATATTATTGTTTCTGTATTATTTTAAATTCATGTTGAGAAACAAGTTTAATTTTTAAACGGTTAAATTAAGTGTTTGTGCTCTCTCAGCTGTAAACTATTCATAAAACAAGATGCACAATGTATGATGATCGGATATTATATTTTTAATCTCAATATCTCACAGGGGATGCCAAGGGGGATCTCGTAGTGGTCTCACTTAAGAGAACGGAGATAGACACTGTCTCTGTTGAATGATGATTATGTCTCAAAGAGGATGTGTCTTTATGACCTCGCTCTACCACAGGGCTTGAGGAGGGGCTCCTTTCTGCGATAGATCTAGATGATGAACTCGCTGAAGTTCTGCCAAGTTGAAGCTGTTCTAGAGTGGCCAGAACTTCAGACATCTGGGGTCTGATTTTGGCCTCACTAATGCACTGTAAAGCAAGAATTGCAGCTGTATAGGCTGCCCTCTGTGGATATTGCCCTTCTAACTTGGTGTCCATAATCCGGAATAACTTCCTCCTATCACCCAAATAAGGTCTTGCCCAATCCACCAGATTCTGTTCAACTCCGGATTTCGTTCGATCAATGGCACGCCGTCCTGATAGTAATTCCAATAGCACAACCCCAAAGCTATAGACATCACACTTTGCAGTCAACCAACCTGCTCATAATTTAGAGATCAATGATAGTAAGCCATTCCATATAAAAAGCAGGGGACAATTCAGGTCAGAATCCAGGCTACATTAGGCTTCTGGAACAACAGTTCTAAAGGAATCTTGATATTAACACACATCAATCTTAAGGATTGAAGTGGCCGTCATATACTGGGAAACATGCAAAGAAGTTCAATTTTTGCTTGTTTCCAATTCAAGCCTTAAAGAATTTTCCATTCATCCCCATGTCAACAAGTATCTTGGGGTGACATGCATGCAAAACACTGGCTTGGTTTCAAATATTTATAACAAGAACCAAAGGAATTCGAAAGAAATGCAAGTGAGGAAGGCGATTGAATCATACATGTTCATGGACCAAAGAAGTATGCGAGTAAACTGACTGAGAAACCAGACCTGTGAGAATATATTCAGGAGCAGCATAACCATGAGTACCAAGGACTTGAGTGGAAACATGAGTACGGTCGCCGGTGGGCCCTGCTTTGGCAAAGCCAAAGTCTGAGAGCTTTGCATTAAATTCCATTCCTGCGTTTGTAGAAAATTGACATTAAATTATTACTTTCATAGAGGCCTACATATCATTCAATCAGCCATTTAGAGAGGACAGGGGACGCAAAGATAAGGATGCATTTTGATTAAGCCCACAAAGGGTAAATTATAAAGGGGGAACTAGTTTAAGCCACGAGGAAGACAACTTTAACCTTTGTGGCCCATACTTATACATCTTGATTTTTCTTTTGATCATTATCTTTCCTGATCTGTAGAGGAGGCTTACAATCCACTTGTAAATTTATATGCATTTTTCCACCGGGCGCCACAATAGCAACGTGACTGCTTAAACAACATACCGAATCTAATAAGATGTTAGAAGCCTTGAAGTCACGATAGATAACTTGTTGTTCGGAGTCATGGAGGAAGGTAAGGCCTCGAGCAGCACCAATAGCGACTTTGATCCTTGTTGCCCAAGGAAGTGGTTGTGCCGCCCCTGCAATTTACGGTTCCAGAGTCGATTATAGCACACTTTCTGTGGCATTGTTTGAACCAGACACATGGCAATGGTCAAATATTTTGGTGGTTTGGTTTATAAGGTGTAAACTAAGTTACTTCCAGGCTAAGAGTATTATTGATTCTTTGAAAGCTATGCTGCTAGCTAAAGTGATCAACATACTGCGAAATAGATGATTCTCCAGGCTGCCTTTGGGCATGTACTCGTATACCAGAAGCCGACTATCCCCATCAAGGCAGAATCCCAGAAGTTTGACAAGATTTGGATGATGAAGTTGACCAAGATAATTGAGTTCAGACTGTAAATAAAAGAAAAATAATCCATGATGAGCACTGATCTACTTGAATGAAAAAAAAAAAAAAAAAGCAGCAACATTAAGCAAAGGAATCGACCAGCCACTCCTTATGGCCTTGAAAACCATTTGACTTAAGATTCTTTACAGCGACAGCCATTCCGGATCCAGGCATTGCAGGTCCAAGAGATTGTTCATCAATCCACCCCTTATAGACATTACCGAATCCTCCTTCTCCTAGTAGATTATCAGGACAAAAGTTTCTAGTAATATCCTTAAGCTCATTGAATGTGAAGGCTTTCAAATGTGGGGAGGATAGTATGACACCTTCCAATCTTGGAGTGGGGAGTGTCTGAGGCTTAGCTTTATCACTGTATCCTTTCACTGGACTTGAATGAGCAAATGAATGGTTGCTTCTACTAGAAACATGTGTAGTACCTGCAAAAATTTTGATTTTAATGAAAAGAAAATTCATTAGAGGGAGAGAGACACCATAAAGGAAAAAGCCATCCTCTTGAGATAAATTAAGCTAAAGCCCCCTGTGGATTAAGCATCAAAGAATAATTTTTTTTAAAAAAAAGCACGATTATGTTTCCAACAACCTGTGCGATCAAAATATAAGTAGCAGTTACCAACTTATCAAACAAATCCTCAAAAGCAAAAAAAAAAAAAAAGGAGGGAGGAGGAGGAGGAGGGCACAATAAGTTCTAATGACTTCATGCAGTGGCGGAGAAAATAAAAACAAATACTATAAAAATGGTAAAAAAAAAATGTACAGTAAGCATAATCATCAATAGGACAAATGCAAAAAAGAACAAGTACAGTTATCGAAACTGCCAGAACTGACATCACAAGACAACAAACTGGAAATGGCTATATTTCAACACAGTTAATCATTATATACATGAATTTGGAAAGTAAATACATAAAGGCAATTTGCTACCAACCAGCTAGAAAGTAAAAGCAATGTATGAAACAATCTGAATAAAATATTAAGCACTCCCAATCTGATAGGATTCACAGCCATTTGAGACACACACACACACACACTCACTCAACAAGAAGAACCCTCATAATCTGCAGGGTGGAAAACTAGTTTAACAAAATTAAAAGAAAATCATATTACTTCCTGCTTAACAAACAATGACAGCTTCAGAGAAGGCAAATAGGTTTATTAGAATGACAAAACGAAGCGCATTCAAACGTGTAACGGGTAATCAAAACTCAAAAGAAAGCAGCGAGGGACTATAATAATGGCGTACCGGAAATAGGGTGAGGGGGAGAGTATCATCAACCTTGGGACGCTGCCGAAAGCAGTTTCCCATAAGAGGAAAGTAACCTCTTGAGAAAACGTTTCGGCCTTTGTGAGAATGTCCAGATTAATTCCTAATCATCTGATTCTCCTGCATCATTCATACCCTTCTCATTTCAGAGAAGAGCGTGAAGAAGACAGCGAGAATGAGATTTATAGTTTTGCATCGTCGTTATATAGCAAACCAGAAAATTTTGAAAATTACAGATCAGGACGCATAAATGGAGAATCATGTTTCAATGATCCCAACTCAAAACAAACCACCAAGAACCTTTTTATAAATTGTTGTGTCAATTTTAATATTGCCAACGTCATTATAAAAATATAAAAAAGGTATAAATTAAGAGTTATCTTACTGGTGCATAGAATTTACTTTAATTTTCATTTATTATTACAGCAAGTACAATGCAAATAAGGCGAGTCTTATTTGTTTTTAATTTATTTGCTATACTATGCTTGGTCAAAAAAATTTATCCTTTCTCTCATTGAAGACCTTTTTTTTTCCTTTTTTTTTTTTGGAGTAAACAAAGAAACGACTTTTTCTTTATCCCATTTCAGACGTTTTAAAATCTTGCCAAATTTTTTCTTTCTATTTTATATTTATACCCACGCGTTTTGTTTTTTGATAAAGAAAATCACATTCTGTTGTCTCAGTTGATTTTTCTTTCAACAAGTATTGTTAAACAATAAAGAAAACATTATAGGATTTGTGACCAAAGAATAAATAGAACATATTTTCCCCTCTTGGTTTTTTTTGAGCCAACGAGCTCTTTTTTTTTTTTTTTTGGGGGAGAAAATCACATTCTATTGTCTTAATCCAAGTAAAAGACAGTTTTGATCTTCAATGAGGAGCTAGTATGTAAGTACACAGATTCATATATATAATAAATTTATGCTCTCGATTTTGAGTGCACTGCATGTATTCGATTACATGTTACTATAATTAATGATTATGTCAGTTGAGATTCCAAAATAAATGTTGTTTATTATCTCTCCTCTAACTATACATCGTTCTCGTTTTTAGGTCGGCACGTGGGCTTGTGAGCAATCTCACAAAACAAATAATTCACAAACTATTGAAATTAAAATGATTGTATTCATATTTAACAATAGGAAAAACGTTAAATCAAATTTGAAAGACATCTGTAATTCGCAGCCTCAAAAACTATTACTTTCATAAAGGCCTACATATCATTCAACAATGTGTGTGTGTGTGTGTATCACGTATGTTATTAGAGTTTAGAATGAAGAAAGTTAAAAATAACCGTAGACAAAGAAGATATTAATTGTCCGTGATTAAACAGTTATGTGGTTTGTAACATATTATGATATTAATGATACCTTTCAAATTAAAAGAAAGAGAGATAGATCAGAGGAGGGTTTGGAAAAAGAAGTTATGATTGATGATGCTTACGTATCTAGTACACAAACCCTAGCTAGCTAGCAGTAGTACAAAACTGCAAGAAAAACGGACTCAATTTAAGGAGAAGAAAACAGGGGGGACTACGTAGTAGGAACTCTCCTCATAATTAAGTGAAATTAAGAGGTGCTAAATTAAATAACTAAGAAAATAGATTAAGAAGAAGAAGAGTCTATTGCATAAGTAGGTTTCTAATAATGGCAGCTTGCGCGGTATCAGTTGTGGCCAAGAGCTCAGATAAGCGTTCACTTAGATCGTCCACTTCCCTGTGTAAGCTTCTTATGTAGTTACATGTCTCCTGCAACACCTTCGCTGCTGAAACCTGCATTCTCACAACATTCAACATCCATCTTATTAATAATATATATTATCTAACTAATTAGTTAATTACTTCTATCATAACAATAACCAAGTCCATGATTAGAATCTATAAGATCGACAAATAAACATGGGGTTTTTCTCCAATTCATCATGATTTTTCTGCCTTTAAGTTCTCATTCTTCTTGACAATCAAGTTTCTCAAGATGGACATTCATGATCTGTCACTAAAATTACTCTGTACTGTAAACATTGTTTTCTTGAAGTAATTTTATGTTCTTTTTATATATTACATCATCCTAATTAAGGTCTAAGGATAGCCGACTGCCGCAATGATATATAATTCAACGCGTTACATAACAGAAGGCAATTTGATTTTTTCTTGTGTTGAATAAGATCTTAGTAATGACCGATCGGAATGCAAGAACAAGGAAGTCAGAAAAAAGAGAGGGGGTTTCCAAGATATTAACTGATACAACATGTATAAATTAAACGTTCCGAGAAAAGATTCGTTTGCTTTTTTATTGAATTTTTCTTGAGAGGCGTTGAAGTTGAGGGTGTGGACCGGACTGATTAAGAGTTTTGCCGGTGTTTGCATAAAAAGGCTAAAATATGAAAACAATTACATGTTCACATAAAAATGAGGATAACTAATTGAAGGCAAAGGGAGAAAAAAAAAGTGGTGCACTGTGCCACAAGTACCAATAACAAATAGAGCATCACTTTAGAAAGTTAATCATTCATCAGTTGAAAGCCAAAGAGGAAGCTAGCAAGAAGGAAGCAGAAGAAGAAAGATGTGTTGGTATAAACCTTATCAGAACGCCTATCGCGAATCTCAGGAAGAAGCTGTTGCAACTTGGAAACAAGGTCATTGATCTGATCGTCGGTGATGTTCCTGGAGCCACTGGCTTGTCTGGACCTACTTGATCTTCTGCTAGACATCTTTTTTAATCAAGAGACACTACTACTGTGTAATATATAGCTAGCTACCAGTTAGCTGCTGAGAGAGAAGTGAAGTTATTTGTTTGGGTTATGGAAGAGAGAGAGAGAGTTTGTGCATGGAAGAAAGGAGAGAAGGTGGGGGTGTATTTAAAGAGGGCCGGGCTTAAGAGAGAGAAGAATCAGGGTTCTACCGTTCTAGAGATACGCCATATTCAGCTGGGAGTTTGGGACTCTCTTCCTTCCATGGCTTACAATACTTGTGTGAATGAGAAAAAGAGAGAGATCTGCTTTGTTCTTTTGGTTTTTTGAAACCCTCACTGCCCTTGTCAGTGTCTACACGCAGAACCATGTTATCTGTTGTCATTGTTATAATATTCCCTCCAATTTTATTCATAAACTTTGAATTTGAGAAGAAATGCAGTACATTTATATGTTTTAAATTTTTTTTTCATGTTTTCTTTAATTATTATTGCCACATGTTTTTCTTATTGCATTTCCTTATTACACATCTTCTTTCATCTTTTTTTCATTTATTATGAAGATACATTTGAAAACAAAAACATATTTCTTATTTATTTATTATTTTTAATCAATTTTAACTAACCATTATACACAAACGAGTTATTTAAATCACATAATAAGTACAAAATGGAGTATCACTTACTGGGTTTGGATCCTCTCAGAATCCATCTCCATCCTTTTCTTCTCAGAATCTCATCTCCACTATTAGATCAAATAATAGATAGTTCGGATTTAATATTTTAAAAAGTAGATGTTCATCTTCTCTCTTATTTATACGAGATTATAATAATAGTTTTATAAAGTATGAAATTTGAACCATTCATTATTTGATCTAATGGTGGAGACAGGATTCTAAGAAGAAAAGGAGAAACAAAGATACCGAGAATATCTCCTCTCATCTCTTACCACTATTTTTTTAATCTAATTTAATGGTCATTGCAGGGTGTATGCTTCCTCTGCACTCTTTACTCTCGTTTACCCCTTTATTTGCTCACACAACTACTATTATAAATTTATAATTAACCACAATACCACATCCAATTTTCTAAACCTATTGTAAATTAACAAAGATCTAAAAAAACAATTATATATGATATCCTTTAATTAAACAACCATCACCACGTATATGGTGATGTATTAATTCACATGATCTGATGTATAATCAGAGAGGTAGAAGCGTACGCCATCAACATCATATTCCTGGATTTGAGAGGCACACTGAGTATTAACTGGTTTATAGAATTCATGGGTGTAAAACTCTTTCATCACCACGTATATGGCTTTTATAAATATCTTCTATCATTATGTTTCAAATTAAATGTTGATTTTGGGAATGCTTTTATCCAGCTTATCATTTTAAAATTTGGTTTCGTTTCAAATTATGGTTACTTTAGAATTTTTTTTATGCAGCATCTAAAATCCACTATAGTAGTAGTCTTAAATTTATGTATTGTCAAATCCCAGATTTAAATCCAAAATCTCATACTTAAAGAGTCAATTTTTTTTTTCCAACTAATGCCAGTACATGCTTTTATACTATTTTCTTCTTGAAGTCCAGGCACTTGCTTAGAAAGAAAAACAATATATAAAGACATCTTATATTTTGCTTTGATATGTAAGTTATTCAAAATCATCATTACCTTCAAAGTATTTAGTGAAGAAACATTGATATTAATATTGTTGCAACTCTACTGACATATATAAATCACTTTTTTATGTTTTAACTCGAGTAAAAAAATTGCAAGTTTGTCCCTTCATGGATATGATAAATATGTGAGCTAGTTTTTTTCCCCTAAAAAAGACAATAATCTTAATCTTAATATTAGTAATAAGAAAATTTAAAGAAAATAAAGTCGCAGGAAAGTGGTGGTGGGGGACAGGAAGATTAGGGTAACGTGATCGATAAAGTTGACCGGTCAAAGCAAAACACAGTCCATGTTACGTTTTGTTATTGCTCCAACCAAGAATACAGTGACCCGCGTGGCGTCTTAATTCATCCCATAATTAATTAATTAATTACCCTTTAAAAACAAAACACGAGAAAATCTGCACTCTATTTTTTGCCCAAAAATAGAAAAGAAAAGGAATATATATTACATCTGATCATCAAAGCCAGATATCTACTACCTCCGGTCCTAATTATAAGAACCAGTTGACTAATTTGAGAAGATTAAAGAAATAAGTTGAGTTAGTTATTTGTCCTAAACAGGTGTTGTCTTTCCTAAAATATTCTTGTTAATCAAGTGTATTGACTAGAACTATCATTGTTAGAAGGGCTACTTTGAAAAAAAAAGTATAAATATGAGAGACAAAGTGGATTGGGGTCTTATATTTATGACCAAAATAAAAGTCAAATAGGGTCTTATATTAAGGACCGGAGGTAGTATATATTTAAGCTTAATTAATTAATTAATCATCAATCAATCTAAATTAATTAAAAAAAACCATGCAAACATATGGTTTCATTAAGGGATCTAATTATAATTAAGTTTTGGCCTGGTAATGGCATAATTTTTTGGGGAGGAATCAATCTAAAGGGAGCAATCTGATTGGCATAAACCAGGCGCCCACATGATTATTCATTGTCCTATTTTAAGTGCATACCTGTTAATGTAATCATAGTACACAAAATAGTATATACTCTTTTTTATTATTGTCTTCCTTCGACTTGCTCTACTGTTATATTGTCCCAACCAAGGGGTGTGTGTGTATGTATTCTTTATGAATCTGTATATGAATTGATCGCGTTTCCTAGCTATAATCTGACAATGTGTAAACGCACTTTTATGAGAGATCTAATTTTAATTTGACATTTTGTTTGATTATTTATGGGGCACTGTGAGCCGACCACACGTCTTAACATTGATTAAGGGTGTGTTTGGCAACCCTCAAAAGTGCTTCTCAGAAACACTTTTTTACAAAATGAGACAAACTCCTCCACATATTTACTTCGTAAACCATAAAAACACTTCTGAAACCATAGTTTGGTTTGCATCCAAACACCCCTTAAGTATATGTACTAAACCATTTTAAGTTAGTACCTAGTACTACCTCTTATCCTTGATATAAGGGTTAGTTGACTAATTTACATATGTTAAAAAATTAACTAAGTTAGTTATTTATAACAAATATGATTTGTCTTTTCTAAAAACCTTGCTAATTATATGTATTAACTTAACTATCATTTGATGAAAAATTTAATATGTATAACTATTATAATAACTACTTTGAAAAAAAAAGATAAATGTGAGAGACAAAATAGGCTTTGATCTTATATTTAAGACCAAATTAAATGTTAAATTAGCTTTTATATTAAAAACTGAATGTGGTATTATAAAAATAATACCCCTGTAGGTTAAGAAACTTTGATGCCTTTTAATCTCCAGGTGGATACATGGTATCTTGTGTTGGGAAGGCTTGAGACCTATGCATAGATCAACTTGCAACAGTTGCAAACTACTTGCAGTTTTGTAGTTGAGGTCCATTACGAGCCTTTGATCATAGTTAATTTACATATATCAAAGCATATTCGTTCCATTCAAGTGGTCATGATTTGGGGGGGAAAACAGAGTTTTGGGTGCAAATTATTCTGGCTCACACGCAAATTTTTATAACTTAAACTTTATCTCACACTACATCTTAACTAGCTGTTAATTGTGTTATTAAATGGAATGACGATATGCCAATGGTCCTATGTGGCCTAGTGCCACTGGGCTCTTCCATTCATGAAAAGTAGTGTGCAGTTCCATTTTGCTTACTTTTAATCTATTCACAGACTCCTCTAGTCCTATTTATAATATACGGAGAGAAAATTTTTCTTATCCTAATTATAAATCATCTTATTAAATTTTTATCATAAATGTACTATTTTACCTTTTATTTATTATAGTATAATTTTTTAAAAAAAAGATGTATATATTAAATAGAGATAAAATTGAAAAATTATTATATTTTAAATGAGAGTTAATGTAGTTTAAGATTTTTTTTAGTATATATCAACATGCCAGAAATGCCCTATAAATGGTTCCAAAAGAGTACTACTTCTTTGTGCTAGAGCAAAAAAAAAATCAAATGGAGTTATATAAATGTAAGTTTAATTTCAACAATTTCAAGGGAGCTTCTAGCATAACAAAATAAAACAAGAGGGTACTAGCCTGTCAAATATCATTGCAATCTTTCATGAGTTGCATGAATGTTAAACAAAAACAACCATTAGCCAGGCCAATAATCCTAATTAATAATATCTTATTTAATTACCAGAAAGATGATCATATTAATAAAACCTGTATGTCTTCGTACATTAAAAAAAAACTCACACAGCTGCTCTTATAGTACGTGATCACATGACATTACAAAAAGTTTAACGAATATATAGAGTGTGTGTGTGTGTGTGTGTGTGTGTGTGTGAGAGAGAGAGAGAGAGAGAGAGAGAGAGAGAGAGAGAGAATATATATATATGTATGTATGTATCTGCAGAAGATATTGATGATTTGAAGGTGAAAGAAAGAGAGGGAGCAGTGAGTAATGAAGATGAGATTGGTCAGCAAGCATCTCGGGGGCACATGACCCTGGATCCAATCAACAGCCAGGACTCTGCTCATTTCTTTATTTCCCTTTTCAGTCCTCCAAATATATAATTGACCTTACCATATGCTCTGTACTCTTCTTCACCTATTTTATATGTTATTCCATTAATCACTACCTCTATTAGATCTTTCCTTCTTATCTTCCGATCAAACAATATTATCATTCCTCTCTAACTCTTGCAGATATTTGTTTCACTCACTTATGAGTCGGTGTTCGGTGTTGTAATTCACGATGAATAGTGATGCGTAGATATTAAGTAAAAATTGTTATCATTTCACGAAAATATATGTGGTTTCATTTACTTATTGAAATGCCTTAATTAATTTAATTACTGTTGTGTGCGTGTGATTTTGGAAAGCGTAGAAATTACAACTTTTGGGGGTGTGTGTGTTTGTGAT